AAAAAATATATTGGGGGTGGAGTTGAGCTCTGCTTCCAACCAAGACCAGATTTCCCTTTTCATTTAAAACAAGCAAAAAGCTGGACAAAAGATATGAATGAAGTGCCAGCTTTCACTCTCTGCAAGAGGCAGCAAGGGACCATGACCCCTGAGAAAAATGAAACAAGGTAAGTCCTACAGGATACCAGTTTACCCTGTGTAGGCGGTTTCCAGGTTGTAAAAAAAGGAAAAGGGAAACCCAAACTGAGCCCAGCGGTCTTGCTGAGTTGGAGAAAACAGAGGTTAGAGGTCAGGGAGGCAAAGGGAACTATACTGTGTGAGGAAAAATATCAGTGAGATGGGAGGCATCAGAGAGATCTGGAGGTTTCCAGAGCAGTCTCCTTCAGTCTTGGGCTGAGGACTCATGTGCACACACACAAGGGGAAGGAACCTCACACTGGAGAAGGATACACCACAAACAATGAGGCAGGTACTCCCAGGGCTTACAGGGGGTGGGAGATAGTTTGTATTTCCACTAGCCAGCATGGAAGAATCTCAGGATACTCACGGCATATATACAGAATAAAAGCTGCTTTGATTCAGCCCTTTCAAAAGATCCAATTAATTCCAAGTAAGTTAACTATGCACAAGGGGGGGGAAAAAAAGAAATTCAACACTGTTTAAAGGACTATCAAAATCTAGTAACCAGCAATGTAAAATCCATAATAGCTAAAAAAAAAAAAAAAGCTAGAAAAGCAAAGAAATCGAACAGTAACTCATAATGAAAAGAAAAATCAACCAACCGAAAGAGACCCAGGAATGACAGATTATGAAACCAAAAGGCAAAGCTGTTAAACACTCCCTAATGAACATACTCTAGATATTCAGGGAGGTACAAGGAAACATCATGATGAAGAAATGGAAGATATAAAAAGACCCAAACAGAACCTCTGGAGATGAAAAGCACAGTATCTAAAATGAAAAATACACTGTCTGGGATAAATAGGAAATTAGATCCTGCAAAATAAAAAAATTAATCCTGGAAGACACAGTAGTAAAAATTAACCAAAATGAACAAAGAGAAAAAGTGAACAGAGTATCAGTGCCTTGTGAAACAGTATCAAGCAATCTAACAAAAATATTTTTTGTTGTTGTTCAAGAAGAAGAAAAACAACAACAAAAAAAACTTTTGAAGAAATAACAGCTGAAAGATTTCTCAACTTAATATAAATTTTAAAACTCACAGATCAAAGAGTTCAATAAATCCCATAAGGAAAATAACAATGCCCAGAACATCACAACTACATGCTGAAAAGCAGTGAAAAAATGCAGTCAGAAAACAAACAAAAAAGACATTATGTTCAAAGGAACAAAGATAAGAACAATAGGCTTATCATGAGAAACTAGTATACAATACAGAAGACAATGAGGAAATATCACTGAAATAATAAAATGTCAACCTAGAATACTTCTCTGAGAAGTATCAGACTAAATTGAAGGCAAAAATAAAAGCTTAGAAAATTCATCACTGGTAGATCTGCACTGTGAGAAATGTTATTTTAGGCAAAAGGAAAATGATACCAGATAGAATCCAGATCTATACAAAAGGAATAAAGAGCACAGAAATGGCATAAAGTTGAGTATCTGTAACAGAAATGTTTGACTATTTAATACAAAAAAGATAACATCTTGTGAGATTTATAGCAGTAAAATGTGTTATAAAAGCTTTAAGTATGGGAGGGCAAATGAACATGTTCTCGTGTTCTTACATGAAGAGGTATAATAAATATTCTTTGAAGATAGATGGTAAAACTTTAAAGATGAATACTGCAAAGCCTAGAGTAACCACCAAAATAATAAAATGGAGACACAGCTAATAAGGGGAAATAAAGTGGAATCAATGAAACTAAATACCTTTCATCCCCCCCCAAAACACATAAATAGGAATGAAAAAACAAAAACAGATGGACAGATAGAGGGAACATAGCAAGATAGGAAACAGAAACTTAACCATCCTAATCATTACATTAAATGTACATGATTTGTATGTCTCAATTAAGAAAGATATTTGTAAGACCCAACTACATGCCATTTATTAAAAAAAAAAAAATCCACCTTAAATATAGAGAAACCAGTAAGTTAAAAGTAAAAGGAAGGAAAAAAGATGAATCATGCAAACATAATGAAAAGAAAGCTGGAGGGGGTGTATTTGTATTTGACAAAGCAGACTTCAGAACAAGGAATACTACAAGAGATAAAGAGAGATCCTTCACAATGCTAAATGGTCATTTCATCCACAGGGAACAATACTAAGTAAACTGAAGCCTAATATCTAAGCTTCAAAATATCCAAAGAAACAAACTAACAAAAGAAATGCAGAAGAGATCATTAGAAATTATAATTGGGAAATTCAACATTCCTTCCTTAGTTACTGAAAAGAACCAGTAGACAGAAATCAACAAGGACAGAAGACCTGAACAACATATCAACCAACCTGACCTAATAGTCATTTATAGAGCACTCCACTTAACAACAGCAAAATATTCTTTTCAAGTACATATCAAACATACATCACAGCAGACCATATTCTGGATCATAAATTAAATAGATTGAAATCCCAAAGGGTACATTTCTTTGACCACCACTGAATTAAATTAGATATCCACAATGGAAAGATTATCTAAAAAATCCTAAATACTAGGAAAATAAGCAACACACTTCTAAATACCCAATGGGTCAGGAAATAAATCACAAGGTAAAATGGAAAATATTTCTAACTGAATGCAAATGAAAATTCAACATCTCAAAAACTGTGGGATACAACTAAACAAAATAAGATTCATTAACAAATCAATCTTAGAACATCCTGAAGCTGAACTGAAGTGCTATGGTAATCAAACAAAGATTCAATATGGGTGGCTGTTTTCAGCATTACATAAAAGGGCTTGATTCACAAATTTTTTTAATGAAATCCTCCTTAAAAGCAAAGAATTGTGCTGGCTGTTGTTGGTAAATGAAAGAAGAAAACGCACAGTTTCTCAACCAATCAGGAAAAATGAAGGCCTGCACCAAACTCCAAAGCCACGCAGAGGAGATATTAGGGTAACATAAGGGAAGACAGCAGAGCCTTCTAAGACAGGAAGATCTGGGAGGCTGCCTAAGAGCAAAAGCATGTGGCTGGGACCCAGACACTGGAGATAGAGCAAGTCATGACAGTGCAAACAGGGCTCTAGGCAAGGACCCTGGATAAGCAATGGCAGAAAGCAAAAAGACTGAGAGGCCAGGGGGCAGGCTCAGTGACCAGCCTCTAATACAATTTCCCCATGACACAGGCAATGCAAGGTGAAACAGCTTGGGACTCGACTGGGAGGCCCAGGAAGAAGCCACAGACTAGACCTGAAGTCAAAAGACCTTGGTTTAAGTTGTGGATCTACTGTCTACCAACAAGGTAACCAGCATCAAATTCTTCCACTTTTCTACGGCCCACTTCCCTCCCTTGTGAAGTGCATGAAACCATCTCTGGCTGTCCCTGAGAGCTGCCATGAGGCTAACTGGACTGTAAATACCAGGAAGCACTTTGCTACCATAAAGGCAATGGGAAGTTATTGAAGTCTCTGGGGAACAGGAAGAGTGAAGGAAGAGTATTGACACCCTACTGATGTGAATGCTGGATGAAAAGTGAAAGAACATGGAAACAGGAGAAATACAAGAGTGCGGGTTAGGAGTAACGAGGGCCTCAACAGGGGAGGCTGCAGTGGCATCAAGAAAGAAAAGGCCAAGAGCTCCTGTAAGATGAGCCACCATGGGGTGAAGTCAGAAAAGAGTAAAACAACGTGAATCTTAAAGCATAGCAGCTATCTGGGAGAATTTTGACCCACCCTCCAAACAAAGTATTCAGAAAACAGCTGACTTAGGTGTAAGAAATATGATGCTTCTAAATGGACTTCTACCCATACCATAAACAACAGCTGACTATGAAAGGGGAAGAAAACCAATCTTCTTGTAATGAACTATTTAATCCTAGAAACTAGTATCTATTCTAAAAACATACAGCAACTAACTTCTATATACAATCAGGTACCATTTAGTCAAACACTACATCTGAATTTCACCTTATTTCTAGCATCAATGTATTTCCATGCATGTTGTGATTTTATTAGAAGGCTGCAATAAAGGAAAAATGCACCGAGGGTACCACAGAGAGCTACTAATGTGTTACTACAGAAGCATCAGCATTCACCATGGATTAAACCTTTGGTACTAAATTGGCAGAGCCAGAAAGAGTAAAAAGTGGAAAAAAAAATGATGATGCTGAAGAAAGAATAACTTATCACCAAGTTCTCTGCATTAAAGAAGAAGAAGAAGAATGCAATCAATCAAGAAAGTCTAGTCACTCAAATCCATTAAACACACAGACTATAGAAAACATCACTATAGAAAAAATTATAATTATAAGGGCTTGTGTCTGAATGACATTGCCAACTGGTGCCTGAGGATTCACTACCTATGGTGACCAGGCCAAATCATAAGCCTTACTTCACACCAAAGAACCACTGCTATCACATACTTGGACTTGACTCACTATGTAATAAACAGGAAATAAGCTGTTTGAAATTCACACAATTTCTAAATAATATGATAGCACCAAGTGAAACTAGATTAGATGTGGTTAGCTGATTCTATCTAGTACCGTGAGGGGCAAAGGTTCATCATTCTATGAGAAGAGCTTTTTCAAGTTTACCTAAGAGACATTTAAAACAGTTTATCACATGCTGTATGTTACCTTTATTACAAGAGCTAGTAAAGGTCAAGGTCTGCCACCATAGCTTTTTGCTTACATACAAAATCTTTACCCACATCAGTTATTTTTTAAAAATTGTACATGTATGAAGAAATACTAACTAGCATCCTGGGAGTAACTTTTTCATGATCTTTGTTGTGGTATGTAAAAACAAACCTCAAAAGGCAATAAAAGGGGGGGGGATAGAAGGAAACATCTGGATAGGCTCCAGAGAACTCACCCGTGCAAAGTCAAATGCGTATCTGTAAATAAGCTTAAAGTTTGTGGAATCATTTAATAATGATCGTAAATAATCCAAAGTATTTCTGAGTTTTTCTGTTGTATCACATCTACGGAAAAAAGAAAACAGCAAATTACAATCTTTGTTTTGAAACTGGGACAACATAAAACACAACACCAAAGGAAGGAAAAAAAAAAAAAACCCTTAAGTTGGAACATATCCAAAAATGATTTTTTTAAAATAAATTTCATATTTATAGACAAGTTGATAGAATAATAAATAAGCACTTCCTTACCACACCCGTTTCTGGCACATTTATGTTTTCCTCTGCACTATTTTCTATATGTGTGGAAGCTGCAAACATAATGCCACTGCCCCACTAAACACTTGGATAGTGCCACCCCTCTTCAGTCTATCACTTTCACTTTCTCAGCTAACATACAGTTCACATGCACATTCCTCAACTGTTCTCCAAACTTCCTTTACAGTGACTGTCATTTTTTAAGAGACCAGACCAGGTATTTTTATAGCACACCAATTTGTCAGGTAATTTCTCCACAATTCTGTGTAGGCTCAACACTTGACAGGACCACTCCATGTCGCACTGTGTCCTTCCAGGATACCCCAGGGGGAGGCTCATCTTGTCGCCTGTCTCATTACGGCTGATATTAAGTTGATGGTTAAGGTGATGTCTACCGGGTTCTTCATTTAAAGGTACTTGTCTCCCTTTGGAATGTTAAGTACTCTGTGGGTTGACACCTTGAGACTAAATGTCTTGTTCCCCAACATTTTGCTCAATGTGTAAAAATTTTTTAAATTTCATATTTTCTTGATGCCCTGACATGCCCACAAAAAGACTGTTAATAGTCTGCCCAGGAGACCAGGTGCATAATGTTACACAGATGGTCCCTGCCACAAGTTCCCCTTCCAGGTCTCCTCAACTGACCTAGTGATATTGAAATGCACCAATGAAGTTCCCTCTTCCTTTCTGCTTGTGTTTTGCCTTCGCCCCCAATGAAGGCACTTGCGCATGGATCCAAGCCCACTCCCTGAGAGCACCTCCCCTATGGCCACTTTGTGGTGCACCTATCTCCTCTCCAGATGGGGAAGTATAATGAATCATGCCTCTCCCAGTAGTTTCTGAAGCAGTGTTGGAATGATCCTTAAAGACCCCATGAGGGAGACTTACTCCTCTATTTATAATACACGTGATTTTAGCATTCACTGCTGGTACCTACTTCAATCAATTAGTACATCCTTAGATACAAAATGGGTGGCTTTCTAATCTATCATCCTTTCTACCTTTATTGGCTACAATTCTATAAAGAGCTCTATGCCTCACTGTTCCTATTTTCTACATTTAAATTGTTTTCCTTTTAATTCACTATGTAATGATCTGTCCCCCTCCCTCACTTTTTTTCTTTGTTGATGTATAAACTGTCCCCATTTGGGCAGTGGCCCCTTAAAACTGGCTCCAGTACTCCCCTAACATGTCACAACCACTCTCTGAGCACTTCTTTGCTTTGTGGAACAAGATGTTCCAGCTTTGTTCTTTGCCTGCCCCAGACTTAAAATCAGCCATTCTCCAGGAAACCCTGGTGACCATAACCTATTTTTACCAGTAGGTAACAGTGTCTACTTTTTGTGGGGGTTGGGGGGATTGAACTCAGGGGCACTTGACCACTGAGCCACATCCCCAGCCCTATTTTGTATTTTATTTAGAGACAGGGTCTGAGTGGTTGACCACCTCGATTTTTGCTGAAGTGGCTTGGAACTCGTGATCCTCCTGCCTCAGCCTCAAGAACTGCTGGTATTACAGGTGTGCGCCACTGCGATGGGCTTGGTGTCCACTTTTCATAAGTAGGGAGAAACTAATTGGTTATTTTTATAAATTAACTATTTGCAATATGCAGCCCTTAAAAATGAGAACCAAGAATCACCATTTTCACTAGCAACATTAAAGCTTTTTAATACTGCATATAGTTGCTTGTGTTTTTCTATAGAACTTTTACCTACTTGTAAAAGTAGATTTATCAAAATAAGTAATTTGCCTACCTTATGCACTAAAATATGTTTAATAATAGAGCACATTCGATTTTTAGCAATAAATTTGTCAAAGGTTTTTTTGTAGCTAACTACCAAGTCCTCACAATTACTATATTAACAGGATAAACTGCCACGCAAGGTGGCACACACCTGTAATCCCAGCGGATCAGGAGGCTAAGGCAGCCTCGGCAAAAATTGAGATGCTAAGCAACTCAGCAAGAACCTGTCTCTAAATAAAATACAAAATAGGGCTGGGGATGTGGCTCAGTGGTCAAGTGCCCCTGAGTTCTATCCCTGGGACCCCTCCCTGCCAAAAGAGGATTAACTGTCTAAAGGCCCCAAATTAAATATTTTAATTTCAATGGAACAGAATAATTTAGAATGTCCTTTATTTCCTTTTGATGTTGGAAAACAAACATTAGAGTATTTTAGAAGATATCAGAAAAGGTTTCTTCAAGGGGTTGACATATAAGCTGAGAGGTAAAACACACACACAGGTCCTAGGTGTTTGGGGGGAGGTGGGAAGGGCTCTCTAGATATTAGGAAAAGCATGTGCAAAGGCCCAGCAGCAGAACAGGTCTCAAGGAAAACCATTGTGGCTGGAGTGGAAAGAATAGGAGGGAAAGTAGTACAACAAGAAACTGCAAGGGAGGTAGGGGGTAAGACTATAAAGAGCTTCTGTGATCCAACGTGAAATCCTAGAAACCATGGAGGCTACCTCCAATCACAGGAGATCAGGCTTGCAATCCTGAGGGGCTACTCTAGACCCTTGTGGAAGAGGATTTAGGAAAGAAAAAGAAGAGATACTGAAAGCCTAGTAAAAGACCTGGTGCAAGAGTCCAAATGAGGGCCAAAAGGGACTAGGAAAAACATACAAGAAAGCAGGGAGCAGGAGAAAGTCTTGGAGGTGGAGCAGTAGCAGGGATTCCTTAGCAGTGAATACTCAATGTTATATATAAATTATAATATTTATTACTAATAATGAAGGAAGGTCAAAGAGGAAGGAAGCTAGGCAACACGAAGCCCCTGCTCTTCACTAGAAAGGTCAAGGACCAGAGCCATAGGCCACAGGCCACTGGGCTGACAGTTTAGTTTGGTCCTGTGCAATGAGCAAGAAGTGCAGCTGCTTGTTTTCAGAGGCTGAAGAGCAGGGACCTCTCATGGAGGTAACTACTAAATGGCAAAAAGAAAATAAAATAGCTGCAGGTTTTGGGGTACTGCTGCAAGGTGAATCATGAAGTTAGTTCTGCAGCTAAGTCTGGGACCAAACCCCAATCCTGGGAAGAGATGTTCCTGGGCACAGTGCAGGAAATGAAGAGATTTCATGTTTTAAACATAAAATGCACAGGGTTCCACTTCAGTACCCAGTAAGGGTGGTTACATGGCGTTAGAGTGCACACTGCCATTAAAGAGTTTAATCTGCTCTCAGTGGGCCTTGTCCATATCTTTAGAGAGCCTCTGGATTCACCCCATGATGGAGAAAAGGCTGCTGAGTCAACTGTCCAGAACTAGAGGCTGCCATCTAGTGGCCATGCAACAAGGACACCTTAGACGGACTTTATTCTAGCTAACAGCCGATGAAGAAATGACTGTGAAGTTCAAGTAAGAGACCTAGATCTGACCTTTGGAAAGTAGCTATCTCTTCAACCCCAGTTTTCTTCCCTGTGTGCTTCAGTGTACCCTACAGAATAACAGTCACAGAAGTCAGAGTGACTGTGCCACACTTTGAAGGAGTATCATTTCCCGTAACAAAACATACACACATATGGGGTCATTTCTTCCATGAATGGTGCTACTGTAACAGGTTCAGAAATGACACATCAGCACAATGATCCTCAAAGGTTATAAAATCAAAAGTGGTCTCCCCTATTACCCAGGAAAAGGCCTCCCACCCCTTGACTTAGCCCAAAGGTACTTTTACAGCCCACCATCAGTTTTACCCCAAGTTGGCTACACTTCTCCCACTCTTCCTTAAATTTAAACCCCACCCTCCACAGCAGCTTAATTCATATGGTAAACCTGCATGCTGGGACACAGTGGTAAATAAAACGGTCAGTGCTGTGCCTTCTTGGGCCAAGCAGAATGGATGTGCCCGCCAGCCAGGTGCTGTTACTTCCTCATCCTCTCTTAGCACCACCTGCTCCACACCGACAGGCCTGGGGGCAGGGGTAGTGTTGGGGAGCAACAGGCAATTCTTGCATATAGCATCAAGGAGACTAAGTTTTGAGCACCCAGGTGTAAGCCACATGTTGTCACTTTCCCCTCCCAATTTGGAAATGTTAGCAGAAACACCCAAGAAGTGACAAAATTGACTTAAGCTCCAGTTCCAAAATACATGGCCTTTCTATTTCTATCATGCCCCCTGTACAATAACAACCTACTTTTTAAACTCAGCATTTGAAGCAAATGTACTACTATGGTCTGAATCTTTGCCCTTCCCCACACCATTAATATGTGGAAATCTTTATCCCCAAGGTGATGGTACTAAGAGGTGGAGCCTCTGGGAGGTGACTGGGTCATGAGGGAAGAGCCCTCGTGAGTGGGAGAACTGAGGGAGCTCATCTACCTTTCCACTGTGTGAGGATGCACCTAGAAGACACCAACTATGAACCAAAACATGGCCCTTCACCAGATACAGAATGCTGGTGCCTTGACCTAGGCTCTCTAGCCTCCAAATCTGGGAGAAATAAAATTCTGTTGTTTATAAGTCACCCAGTCTAAGGTACTATTTTTCTTGGTTTTTGTTGTTGTTATTATTTGTTTTGTGTTGCTGGGCAAGTGCTCTACCACTGAGTTAACATCCTCATCCCCTTGAAAATACTGTGTTATAGTAATCCAAATCATCTAAGACATATACTAATGTATATAAATACAGGTTTTATCATATATACATTAATCCTAGCTTTGAGCAAAATCAGAAAATCTAAAATGGCAGACAAAACAGATGATTCAAAAGATGAACTACTTTCCATTTAGTGTAAATCACCTGAGTTTGCTTATCTATTAGATACACATTCCTTAAATATACAGGCTGATTTAATTAGCATAATTAAATAGTTAATTTAATTAGCATAAGAAAAACAAGCCTATTCCTTATGGATCTTTTACCTGAACACTGGTTCTATGTCCCTGCCCTTAACAGACTTTGTCTTGTTCATAGGTTGTTTCCCCAGGTCTAGAATACTCTGCTTGGCATATCACTGCCTTTCAAATATTTGCTGAGCAAGTGAATAATCTAGGGAGGATTGGGGGGGAGGGTTCTTGAAATTGTTTAAACTACAAAGAACCTTAAAGGTCATTCTAAGTAATTATCTCCACCTCATTGATAAGGAAACAGTCTCAGAGTTTCATATCACAGACAGAAAGCAGGTTCCTGTATGCCTATATATAATGGATCAGGCTAAATTAAAAAGACTAGGAGGCAGCCACTTGTGAGAATCCACCTACTACCACCTGCATCACACATCATGACAAGAATTCCTGACAAAGAGCCTGTGGGAGAGTCTTGTGCCTTCAGAATAGAGCCGCAGACTTCTTCCAGGAAACTGCCTCTTTTGTGAAAGAAGCCCAATAAAAATGTGGCCCTTAAAACACAGGCAAGTCCTGACACCCAATAATATTCTTTTGTAAAGACAAAGGTAAAAAAGAGCTTAAAACTATTAAAAAATGGATATCAGACCCTCTTAAAACAAATGAAAATGGACCTGAAAAATGTTTATGGTGCTGCCTCTGAAGGCTTAAAATAAAATCCTAACATGGCCAAGCGTTTGTTGTCACAAGGACATGCAATAAAGAGCAGCCACTGGATGTTCTAGCCAGAAAGGCAGTGAGGAAAACAATCCTAAGGCTTCAAATCATAACGTGATGTTTTCTCCAATGTGACAAACATAATTACAAAGAGATTTCAGAGAATTTAATCCTACAATCCTAGAGCATGCTGACAGGAACTACTATTTAGGGCTTTTACCTAAAAATCATCTGCTGTCAAACAGTATTGTAAGAAGAAGAATGTGACTTAAGAATCAGAAGTCTTGGGTTTTCAGCTGGGCGTGGTGGCACATGCCTGTAATCCTAGTGGCTCAAAAGGCTGAGGCAGGAGGATCACAAGTTCAAAGCCAGTCTTAGCAATAGCAAGGTGCTAAGCAACTCTGTAAGACCCTGTCTCTAAATAAAAAACAGGGCTGGGGATGTGGTTTAGTTATCAAGTACCCCCGAGTTCAATCTCCAGTACCAAAAAAAAAAAAAAAAAGTCTTGAGTTTTCTTCCCATCTCTGTTACCTTTATGTCACTAGCCTCCCTATGCTCAGTTTCCTAATTTGTAAAAAAATTCTGGATGAAGCCTGACCTGTCTTTTTCAAAAAGTAGCCCTGAGGCTTAAATGGAAAACAGTAAAAAGGTCTCATGAACTACTCAAGTGCAATGCAAGTAAAGCACTACCAATATTAACAAGACAATGTCCCATTAAAAGCTGACAAACTCAAGGCTGGGAATATAGCTCAGTTGGTAGAGTGCTTGCCTTGCATGTATAAGGCCCTGGGTTCAATCCCCAGCACTACAAGGAAAAAAAAAAAAAAAAAAAAAAAAAGCTGACAAACTCAAACATTATTTAAATAAAATCATAAAGCCATTTCGACTCCAACTTTACTCAAGTAAAAATCAAGGTCTGTTATTCCTAGTTAAAGTAAAAAGAAAAGTCATTCCAAGTATTTTAGGTGAAAGTTACTAGGTTAAAAATTAGCATTTGATCTTCAATACCATCTGAAATGTTCAGCCTTCACCCCAATTGCATCCTTCAAGACATAATATATCAGAACAGTTTCTTGAATGAAAATCTTCACACACACATACAAGTACACACATAGATAAGCAAAGATGAATACATAGAACCACTGATTTTTTTTTTCTTCTTTTTCTGGGCCAAGTAACACAAACAAAAATATTATTTTTTAATCACTAGAGTAATGAAGTTCTAATTTTGCCTAGAACTAAAATGAGTATTTTTACCCAAAAAGTTATATTTCACTCAACTTAAACTAAAAACCAGAGACATGCTTATATAATAAGCCTTTTCTTTTTAAGCTCCAAACATGCACCATCCAATATAGTAGTCAACAGACACATGTGACTACTGAGGGCTTGGAATGTGGCTAATACAAACCGACCAGGTGGACCATAAACATATCATATGAGTATATTTTGACATTATACTCTAAATAAATAATGTAAAATATCTCATTGATTTATAAATGTTGAAATGATAATAGTTTGGATATTCTGGGTTAAGTACGATATATTAAAGCTATTTTTATCTGTTTCTTTCTACATTTTTAACGGGGCCATTGGTAAATTTTAAATTATATACACTCAACTATCCCCTGAAGTCCCAGGGAAGAGGCAACTTCCTGGGGATGGCAGGGTCCCCCCTAGGGCACCCTCAGAACTTACTGTAGAGAAGTCATTCCTTTTAACCATTCCTGTAGAGTAAAATAACCCATATTTTGTGCATCCAATTTCCAAGCTAGGACCAGCATAACTACCTATTAAAACAAAAGACAAATTTAAATTTCAGCAATTAAGTACATCAGCATCCTGCCAAATGCTGCTAGTCCCAATGGTTTAGTCATTGAAATTGAACAGAATAACTTCAAAACTGAGTTCTAGTTTGGCAAACATCTAAAAATCCTGATAAAATATTTTGTGACAAGAGCCTAGGAGAAACATGTACTCTCGTGATGCCTTACAGTACAAGCAGAAAGTGCTCAACCTCACCAGAGGGCAATTCCTCAGGATCTATCCAAATTAAACCCAGCTTCTCCTCAGTATTCCACAGATATACCTGCACAGGTACACACAGATACATATTTAATGATACTTACTACAGCGCTGTTTGTAGTGACAAAAGGTTGAAACAGCCAAGTGTTGATTGATGAGGGGCTGGTTAAACACTTCTTCATTAAATATATTCCAATCAAAGGAATAATGCAACACCATTAAAATGAATGAGGTAGAGCTAACTGTTCAAATATGAAATAAATTTCAAGCTTTATTAAATGAAATAGCAAGGTCCAAAATACTGTTAAAAAAATTAAAAGGTAGATGGCTGCTTGGAGATATACACTATACCACATATACTTATTAAGTCTGTGAATTGGGCCATATACACTGGGGAAAACCATCTTCAAATAGCAAGATACTCCACTGAAAGAGCATTGTGCCTGGAATATGCCCAGGATGAGTGGGATGGCCCAATCACTCCCCAGTGGGAACCAATCCCTCAGTGCCATTCTTGCTTCTACTGAGTTTTCCAAAATTCTGCAGATATCAAGAACTGTGACAACTCAGCTTCTGTTACTCACTGCTTAGCAATATCTCATGCAGCTACTTAAGAGAAAGATGGCACAGAGAACAAAGGTAAGTTATACCAGACACCTGCAGTGTAAAAACAAGCCTATATTTCAAAAGAGCACCCAGTTTCAAGTTATCCAGAGCCCTGCACAGGAACAGAGTTGAAGCCAACCATGACGGGCAGGAGCAGGAAGTCTTCCTTCTCATCCACCTCAAGGAAAGGTAAGGAACAACTAAGCAAGCATATCATTCCTAAAAAGGTAAACAAGAGGGACAAGGCCTTCTTAGGACCATCCTGCCACTCTACTGGGATGGCCATCTCTGGACAGTCATTTATACACCCAATTCCTAGCCTGGAGCCAGGTATACATAGTTGGTGGACACTCAGTTGTTGCAGAAAAAGGCGCAGGGTAGAAATACATGTTTCTAAGGTGCAGTTAGCCAGGAACCAAGATACTTGCAATTTCTTAATGTGCTTTCTTTACACAGACTCTAAGGGGTCACTTCTGGAACTGGAAGAAGAGCCCCAAACCACCACACCATCATCCATGTGTCCAAGTGAATCAGATGACAGTGGTGGTGAAAGGAATTAGAGTGATATAAAAACATGAAATAATGAGGCAAGAAGTCATTTAGAAAATCAATTTTAGATGATTTAATGAGCCTCTGAAAGCCTACATGTACATTAAAAACTTCAGGTTAGGGAGTATTCAGAAGATGCAAAAGATATGCCCTTTTATCTGTTGGCAACAGGCTAGTCCTCAAGCTGCAAATCCCCAGCTGTGTCTGATGCCTGAGGGATTAAGAAAAAGCCTTCAACTAGTGTTGACTCCAGGGTTCTCCACTTGGGAAATTTTATCAGTAAGAACCTACTCTATTTCTAGGACCTTTCATCAACTAAATGACTACATTACAATTTTTCTTAAGTCACTAGGGTTTTTTGACTTAAAAAAAAATCTAGATTATTAGGCAGATAATAGTAATGACTGTTAAAAAGATTTTTTAAAAAGTCACTTAGAGACCAATCAGCACTAAGAAGAATTTCCCCTAAAAAAGGGGTTGAGTCCTTTAAATTATTCACAAAGCAATGGATTTTCTCCTCAGCCCTCACATTTCTTAGAATTCTGACTCCTATACATCAATTTACCCATGTGAACTAGCCCACATTTCCTAACACATACTATGTAAATTCATGAGCTTTATCACTACTCAGCCCTTCATTAGAAAGATTAAAAATTTCATTTCAAAACTTAAGTTAAAAAACAATAAGTGTGAGGGTGAAGAAGCAAACACAGCAAGTCTGCATGAAGCAAGGCCAACCAGCCAAGGCAGGCACTCACACAGGGAAACCGCCTTTCACCAAGCAGACTTCCTCAAGCTCACGGACAAGAAAGCCAAGTCCTTAAATAAAGGATTTTGCCCTTAGCTTCATAAATCAAAGTAGATAAGAATTTTATAGGCCTGCTTAAATTTCATAAGCTATGAAGAAGGCAAAGTGAGGGTTTTAAATATTTTTAAAGTGCCTGCTCTTCAGTGAAGACAAGGCATCGTCTGTCACCTCATTTTTCAAATGTTAACGTCTCTGAAATTGGGACGTATCCACAATTAACAGCATATCAAAATTTATTTAGCCACACTTTTTCTTTCTTAGGAATGATATAAAATAATCTAACTTCTATTGGTGTCATCTTGGAACTAAAGTACAATAATATTTACTTAGAACAATATTCTGAATTTGGTCTTTTAGTCGACAACATGAATTTACATTTCAAGGCTTTCTTCTTACTGAAACAGAATTCTAAAGAGTTCCAAATCAAATTACCAAAAAACAAAAAAAACCCAATGGCAATAATAACTTTTTTGAATAGTTATTACTCCCTCGAAGCATGCTTTCTTGCCTCTGAGATTAAATGCTCAGATAATCCTACACATACCTACAAACTGACTCTGGTCTCCATCTCATCTTACTTCAGGCCTGGGCCTGCTATGGGTTCCTCTGATCACCAGGCCCATTTCTGTTTTCTGGATAGGACCCCTAGATCCCCAGCCAGGCCCAACTCATTCCCTGATAACACTGTTAGAAAATAATCAAGCTTAGCCCAGCTTCTAGCAGAAAATCTACTTCTGAAAGTTAGTGAAATGGTCTTTTTTTTATGTCCATGGACTAGATCAGGGAAAATACTATTGATCCAGTCAGTGGTCCCCAAACCTTTATGCCAAAGTGAATAATTTATCAAGTTACCTGAACTGGAACCCACTAAAATACAAGACAAAAATCCACATGAATGAGTGAAAAGATATCCCAAAAGCACTTCGGAAAATTTAAATGTTATTTGAGGCAAGACGGTGAGAGGCAGAGGACAACAGAGGCACAAAAATGGTAAAGGTACAAAAAAATCTAAAGAAAGAGTCAAGTCTCATTCCCAATTTTAAGAGCACAACAAATATGCATGGGACCGACGCCTCTTGTAAAGTCTGAATGAAGGGATGACCTCTTGAGGGCTTTTCTAGATAATACATTTATTTAGGATATACTTGTTAAACTAGGAGTGTGTGTAAAACTGAACTGCATTGTTTATGAACCAGAGCACATGTATGAGCACAATTTTTCATTTTAGTGTTAAAAGATATTTTGTGGAAACATAAAAAAAAAATTCAACGATAACAAGATGCTAAGAATTAGGCAAAAATAATTAAGCATATAAAATAACTCCGATCTTTGTAAAGAAAATATTCTAGTGCATTAATACTAAAAAAAGAGTCACCTTCTGAGCTAAATTCGACTGGAAGTAAAAGATCTGTGAAAAATTCATGGTAATTACAACCTACTCAAAACCTTTATGAATAATTATTCAAAGTTTAAGACTAACTCTACATTAGTCTGAAAAAACTATTGAGGGGGACCAAGGTACACAGCATGCAGTGACTTGGTTCCCCGGTTGCTCTGTCATTATAGGTACACATGCCCACACATTTTTAAAATATCCAATTACTTAATCACTGTACCTTTTAGATACAAGAAGTTAAACTAGAGGGGAAAAAAAAAATCACCATCATTACACCATGCCACTTACAAGTCAAACTACATTTTCTTAAGTGACCTCATAAAAAAACTAACCTATCATTATTTCTGTATTTTTGTTTTATTTGTAAAGGAACAAAAAATTTAAGTAATAAAAATTACTGAGTCACACAACTCAGTAAGTTAGACTTACATTTTCTGGTTCAACCCCAATGTCTTCACAAAATTTTTCCATGCCTTCAGGACCCACAACATCATCAGTACCTGCATTGAATACAATCTTACATAAATTAAATCTGACCGTGCACATGATTACTACTGTAGTAATATTACATCATCATTGAATAAGACTTACAGGCCCTAACTCCTTTTGGAAGAAAGAAATCAAGTATAAAATGAAAAATATTCTGGAATCCTTCATATCTTTGAGATTCTACAGAGTGTATTTGCCCAGGCTGACCTTAAACTTGTGATCCTCCCATCTCAGACTTCTAAGCAGCTGGGATTATAAGCACATACCACTATGCCCAGAAGACTGATTTCTGTTATGTTATTTCTGTTAGATTATGTTTCTGCAGTGCTGGGGATGGAACCCAGGGCCTCATGCATGTTCGGCAAGTGCTCTACCACTGAGCAATACTCCCAGCCCTTGGTATAACCACAGTCTATCACTATGTCCTTTATAGAATATGCTTAAAAAAGTTCCACTCTTACTATGGTAATAATTTCAATATATACAATAATTATTAGGAACACAGCAAATAGCCACATAGTAATCTCTACAAAATTAACTGGAAAACAAATGTTTCTTTAACACAGAAATAAATAATCAAGTACAGTTGGTCTTCTATATTTGTTCTACATTTGTGGATTCAACCAACTGGGGATCAAAAATATTAAAACAAAAAACCCCCCTTGTGTCTAACTAAACACTTAATAGACTTTTTTATTATCATTATTCCCTAAATAATACAGCATAACTACTAATAATATAGCATTTACACTGTATTAGGTATTATAAGTAATCCACAGATGACTTAGGAGTATACAGGAGGAAGTACATGGGTTACATGCAAACACTGTGTCATTTTTACATAAGGGACTTTAGCACTTGATTTCTGGTACCTCCAGGGGTCCTGGAACCAATCCCCATCAAGTAAGAGATGTCTGTAGTTATTTTGATCTTGATACAGGCAACAAGCTACTTTAGCTTTAGCTCTATTTCCCTCTAGAAGAACTGCTCATATGTTGCATCTCTACTTTCTCCCCCATTCATTTTTTGAGTCTTGCAATTTGCTTTCTTCTACTTCTGTCTTTTCACTGACACTCCTCTAAGATCACCAATAACCCCCTAATTGTCAAGTCTAATAAATATGTTCATTCATTCTTTATTTAACCTCTTTACAATCTCTGAAAATCTGAAGTGGTTCTTTAACCACAAAACTGTCTCCTCCCATGGCTTTTTAAGTGCCTTCTCATCTGGTGTTCCTCCTTCCTCTTTTGGCTTCTTCTGCTTCTCCTAACTTGATAAATTTGATGTGCAGAGTTCCATCCTCAAACTTTTTCTAGTCCATTCTAGTACACTCTCTCTAGGAAATTTCAACCATTCTTGAGATTTTTAAGTACTACCTACGTCTCTTTCTAGCCCGCACTGCCCCTCTTACTTTTGAGCTGTATGCCAGCTGATTACCCCCACCTCCTGTTTAACTGCCATAACTAGATCTCTCTTCTGCCCCAATCCCACTTCTACTGCATTTCACTTTCAAACACCACCTCACACAATGGAGCCCATCACCTATACATATAAAATACAGCCAAGCCTGCTTATCCTGATGTAGTCTGTCCCAACTGGTGGCACCAACAGAAGTGAGAACCTGGGAATCATCCTATATTCCTCTTCTCCCACACTGTCCATAGCCAATTGATTACTAGTTGAACTTTCAATTTAACTGCTCAATATTCTTAATGGTATCTCTCCTGTACCTCCCTGGTGGGGGCTTATTCTTTCTCTTAAAATCCCTGATCCATTCTGTAAACAGGAGATCTTCTTTCCCAAACAAAATCCCATGCATCAGTGGCTCCTCATTGCCTAAGATAAAGTCCAAGTCTTTGGCACATCAAGTAAGGTTCTCTATGATCTAGAAAACCTTCCTCTTCAGCCTCCTTTTTTCCTACCTGAAAAGCAAGTTTTCTAGCCAAATAGTAATTGTTGAATGAATAAAAATTAAGGTCCAGAAACACCCACTGACCTGCAGTTCACCATACTGTACTCTGAACCCTGGCCTGTCTCCCTCTTATCCTCTTCCTCACCTCTCCTCATCTTCCCTGGTTACCTCATTCAACCTTTAAGACTGGACCCAAACAGGCAGTCCTCTGTGATCCCATACAATGATGTGAATGGTCTCTCATGTTTAGCATCCTGCATTCAAAAAGTGCCAGCCCTCAGTATTTATCTCAGAATTCCTCAAGAGCAACTGCAGTTTTACTCCTTCCACAACCTCAACATCTGGCATTGCTCAATAAAAGTTTACTGAATGATGAAACCAAAACCAAGATCACACTCTACAATCCTTCCTTAGCCTCTAGATCTAGCAAGTTGTCAAGTCCAAGAGAATGTACCATCTTATTGTTTTATTTAGTTAACTTTAACTAGACACATCCTGGAGTGTGCACTGTGGTAACTGCCTAGAGGACAAAGAGGGAAAAACATGGCTCCTGCCCTCCATGGAGCTTAAAGCATGGAATTACTTTCAATACAGAGTAGTAAGTGGACTGCAATAAAATGTTAAGGCAGCTGTTCTCAATGAAGGATAAACATAAAAATCACCTTGAGCACTTGCTGGAAAGTCTTGTGTCACCTTCTTTTCAGAAATTTTTGCTTACTTTAAAATGAAATTGGGCATTATGTTCATGTGTTAATATACCAAAAAAATCCTAAATTAAACAAACTTTTAATTGATTCTTCCCTAATGGCTGAGGTAATAAAACTAAGAATATATAGAAAAAAATATAAAAAAAATAAAGAGGAAGTTGGGCACAGTGGCACACACCCGTAATCCCAGCAGCTTAGGAGGCTAAGGCAAGAGGATGGCAAATTCAAAACCAGCCTCAGCAACTTTGCGAAGCCCTAAGCAACTTAGTGAGACCCTGTCTCTAAACAAAATATAAAAAAGGTTCAGTTCAGTGGTTAAGTGCACCTGGGTGCAATCCCAGTATCAAAAAAGTAAATAAAGTGGAAAAAACAAAAATCCCAGAAAAAGGTAACAGAACTGAATATGTACAACAAAACTTTTTTTTTTTTTTTTTTGGTATCAAAATAACAAATTTGTGATAAAAAGGAACATAATGGCATGGAGAAGAAAATATCTGCTTTGACCATATTATGAGGAACTGAGTTTATACTACCAAAAGTATATTTTATCCTAAATATATTAAAACAAACATTATTTAAAATATCAATAAACATTATTTAAAATCTACCCATAATCTTGCCACCTATCACTTCTCTCTCTTTATTTTTTTATTTATCTTTTCCATACATTTAAATCTAGTTGTGATGATACTGGTCATTGGGATCTTAATTCTATTTTATAGCAAATTTATAGCAATATATCAATTCACCTGTAGAATTAAGATGATAATTTTATCAAGCTAATGAATTCTACTGGATAACATAAAGTGGTCAAAAAATGGAGTGTGAGACAAAAAAAAAAAGTATATTTAAAGCAAGGAGCTATGGAATGCCTTGAGTGACAAGACAGTAGAGATACATTTGGAAAGGCAGACATACTAACAAAAATCTGGAAAAAAAATCAATAACACTCCCACTTTCCTGCCACTGTAAGTAGGTATTAACGTAACTTTCTCATAATAGTCCAACAAGACCTTTATGCTGAAGTTCCCATTATTACACAAGGCTGCGTCACTGAGGCAAAAGGGTCTTCTTTGGTAGTTTTTTAAAAAAATATATTCAAAATGATGTTTATTATACCATTTATAACATGTTTATATTTATTAATTATACTATAATTATATATGTGATATATACATCTCTTCCTTCACTATCAGACCATTTTGGCACTTTTTGCAACTGTCAATGTCTAACTTTAGCACCTGTTCCTAGTCTCTGATCTCATTTTTGTAAACCAAAAGAGAATTCTGCTATACAACTTAATCTAAAATGGATGGAGGGACTACAGTCAGGGCTTGCAGAACTAATATGACCTAGGTATGTGGGTGTTAGTGTAACTTTAAAAATCAATGTTGGCACTTGTGTATTTGGCTTAACTTCTTTTTCTTAAGACATATTTCAGAGTGGAAATTACTTGATAAATAATTTATGTAAAACTGGCTATTTTCATTCTAACGAAAATAAATGGGTTTCCTTTTTCACATGGAGGTCTAAACAACACAGTTCCTGACCTCCCAGACAATCCTATCTCAAATTACAGAGAAGTGAAGTACCAAGATAGAAAAGGGAGTAAAACATACAATCAGAGAGAGCAGGTAGAGGCCCCACAAAGGGGTAGGAAGGGCTTTATTTATCAATCTTCTGAGAATCCACAACTGAATTGATAGGGATTCTGAAAGGTGAGAAGCTACATTCCAGAATATGCAAAGCAGTGCTGGGGTGAACCAGCTAACTTGAAGCTGAGACAGGCTGGGCGCAGGCTGCAAGAGCCAAGGAAATCAGGAGGCAGGATGACAAATAGAACTGAGAACTCTGGAAAGAACTGAGTGATGGACCCCAGGCTCCACATCCCTGCCCCCCAGTAAAAGCATAACGAAGTCAGCCTTTATCCTCAGCTCAAACCAGCTGGCTCTCTCCTAGAGACAGTACTACAGCCAGGGCACCTGGGCCTTCCTCAGGTAACCAAACAGCCGGCAGATCACAGCTACAGCTACAGCACATTCTGTCAGTTATCCTGGTTTTTCTCACAGTTCATTACTCTTAAATAATACTGACCCACACTTTCAACTCATGTGCTTGAGATATTCAAAGTAAAAGTAAGTAATTGGAGCTTTCAGTGATTCCCAATTTGAAGCAAATTTCCCTAGTGATAAGATAAAAGGAAAAAAAAATGAAAGAAAAACAAGGGTAGGTATAAAACTCAGGAACAGCCATATCCATAGAAACGTTTTGCTGAGATGAATTACAAGGAGTCACTCAGCAAGAATCCCAAGGAAACTAAAAAACATGGCTTAATTTTTACTTTCAAAATGTCACCTTTCTTCAGTCAGAAAAAAAGCAAAAGAAAAATTCCACTCTATTCCCTTTTTAAAGAAAACAGTTTATACTTGCCTATAAAGGAAGACATAAAAAGTCAAAATAGCTGTGCTACTATGGTGGAGTTCTATTAAAAATTTCCTTTTTATACTATATTTTCATACAAATAAATGTGAATCAATATTGGAAAGCAAAAAATCTTCATAATTTTCCTTCAGTGGAAAAATGCTCCACTTATTCAGGACCCATTTCCTGAACCCTTGGCAAAGTGTCAAGTACTTTTTACTAGGATTACAAAATGTCTTCAAGAGACTCATGACCTAAGGAAGTACACATGAAAAGATAAATTCTAATACCATGTAAGTGTATGTACAGTGTCCATGCCCTAACAAACAAAATCCAGTTGAATCTAATTAATGAGGAGAATTTACAGAACTTCCCAAAATCCAAAGAAAAGGGATGTAGCTTTTCAAGTTCATCAGTTGAGGGGGAGGGGGGAGGACATTTGTTTCCCAGCTTAAATCTAAAAATTCCCTCCCAGAAAATATGGTCCCTCTGGACCAACCCCTGTAACCAAAGGGGAAAGGCTCATCAGAAAAAGGATAGTGAGGGTAGGAAAAAATTGCCAGATAAGATCAAGGAGAATAATCTTCATTTTTATACTCAATAAAAAGGAATCAAAATAAGTTATGAACAAAGTCCTAGTTTTTGGACAAAGAGGGTTATTAATATAATTAAGGGGCTTAAAAGATATACAATACTAAGAATTAAATAAGAACTCAATGCAGGTTTTTCAGAACTAAACAGAACTACTACTGTTGGATAGAAAAGTGGAGAAAAATCTTCCAGCAAGAGGACAGAATTGTCTTTTATCCTGTAGGTAGCAGGAATTTCTAAACAGAGGGCAGGAGGGTTTCAGGGCAGATATTGTTAGAGAATGACATGAATGTTCTGTTCTGTTTATTTATTTTTAAGTAAGACAAGAGACCTGGTCTAGAACAGAGACTGATAATAGGAAAATTGGTTTGAAGGTTGCTGGAACTGTTATGAAAAGGGAATGAAAAACATGAGGAAGAAAAAGGTTAAAGAGCTTACAATTCAACTTCATCTGAAAATGTTTCCTTTTCTCTTTTTTACACCATTCACACAATACAAGTCCTAGATTGCAATATTAAGATATCCAACCAATTATAGTAAGTTGCAAAACTAAATTTAAGACATTCTAAATGAAAAAACAAACATTTTATGCCAAATGATCTTTCAAAATAGAGACATTTTAATATAAAGAAATTCCATTGTACTACAAAAGGGATCAACATGGCAAAGCTTATTTTAACTTCAGTGCTTAAATCAAATAATTACCCATTATCAGCATTCTAAATAGGTCTCCTAGCAATCCAAAGTATTTCTCCCAAGTGCATTTCATCTTTTCAGTTCCCTTCTAATGTTCTGAATTCTTTGGCTTAGCTGCTGACTATAAATAGGACATTTAGCGATTTGTTTCAACTACGTCCCTCCCTTCCGTTCTCCCTCTCTTCAACAGGGACACAAACACAATACACAACATACAAGCACTGAATTTAAAAATTGTTAAATTCTTTAACCTCCTCTACGGCACTTCTTTATTTTCCTAAGGGCAGTCTTCCATGATATAAATGATTACCCACCTGCGTATTCATAGAACCACTCTAAGCACCTCTTATTTGAGAAGGCTTCCTCTTCAGTCTTTATTCTAGTTGAATCATATTTTCTATACATGCTAGAAATTGAAAAGGTAGTTGTAAGTTATTTAAAGATACTGAGTTCTTTTAAGTAGCAGATAATTTTTACTTTTATATAAACAAGACATTAACTCAATCAGTATTTTAAGTATTTTAAACAGATTACTCCCTGGATTTGCGAACAGCAGCTTTTCTAACTACGGTGTTAAAATATGGTCATACACCTTAACATAAAATGAGATTTTTTTGCTGAGGAACAAGTAATCAGTAAGAAGGACAACATTTATGTGATATACTCTCTTCTCATGAGCTAGAACTTACTAAAGAATGATAATAAGGGGCTGGGGATGTGGCTCAAGTGGTAGCTCGCTCGCCTGGCATGCGTGCGGCTCGGGTTCGATCCTCAGCACCACATAGAAACAAAGATGTTGTGTCCGCCGAGAACTAAAAAATAAATATTAAAAAATTCTCTCTCTCTCAAAAAAAAAAAAAGTCACAGCAACAAATGTCTAAGGTGTTTTCTTCAATTAATGATCCTAAAAATCACTTGCGTCTCTCCATTAAGTTCTGACTTCTGTCTTACAAGTCAGGCTGAGCATAGAGCATGATGTAAGAAAGACCTGTCAATAAGAGACAACTCAAGAGCACACTGATCAAGTACAAAGAAACATTAATTCATGTTCAAGCTTCCAAGGGGGGAAAAAAAATTCAATCATAAGGTTGACAAGAAAAAGTTATCTTGGATGAGTCCTTGATTAGTGTAAGTCTTAAAGCCTCAGAAGAGAGAAGCATAGCTCCCACATTCCACACTGTGGCCACATAGCCTAAGCTGGAGAACTGAATCAGGAAGCATAGCCAATGCTCCTGCTACTCCTAACCAGGGATGGAGGACCTAGAGCTTCCTCACTGGAGAGGGGAGAGTAAGTAGGCAGTGGTTTTAAAATCATGACTTGCATATAAAAAGTATAGACATTTGAATCTATTATTTGTATATAAATTACCTAGAGAGTTATGGTTAAAAACACTTATAAATAACTTTTATTTATATAAGAATATAGAAGATGAAATTCTTTTTTTAGTGCACATTTACTCCTGACCTACACAATCAGATTATCTATATAGACTTCTGAATAGAAATTCCTGGTTTTTATTTAAAAAAAAAAAAAAAAAAAAGAACACAGCTATAAGGATATTTAGTAATTGAAACTGTAAACCATAGCCACATGCAGTACTGTACACCCATAATCCCAAGGATTCAGAAGGCTGAGGCAAGAGGATCATAAATTCAAGGCCAATCTCAGCAACTCAGCAAAAGGGCTAGGTATATAGCTCAGTGGTAAAGTACGACTAAATTCAATCCCTAGTACCAAAAACCAAACAAACAAAAAAACCTGCAAACCACAATTTATAACTTTTCCTATAAAACATGGGAATACTACCTAGAAATAAAGGTAGATACTGGTCAAGGGTTAAGACAGATCTTCTTTAATCCCGGGCTCAGACATTCCTGTCATAGCTCAAAGCCTATAAGCAGTCAAAACCTGGAGTCCTTTGTATGGCACTATAATATTTGATTCTGAATTACTTAAAAATGTTCTACATAAAAAATGGACCAAGATCATAGAGTGGAATATCATTCAGCAAATGAATAAAATATGGATAACTGCTATTATTACACTGATATGCCTAAAAAACATAAGTGAAAAGAAGTGAGATACAAAACATCATTTACACAAAATGTCCATAAAAGCACATGTATCTGCAGGGATAGAAGGTAGATCAAAGGCATTGCTTGGGGGCAGTGAGTAGAATCGGGAGTGGCTGTGACTAGGCATCAGGGATGTTTCTGGGTTGATGGGAATGTTCCAAGCTGGACTACAGTAAGGATGTTCACAACTCAGCTAAGAAGAAACCACTTTTGTACACTTAAAATGTATGAACTTTATGGTATATAAATAAATTGGCTTTAAAAAAAAGACTAAAAATTCAGAAATCGCAACTGCTAGTTTTTAATCTGATTTTATCATATTAAATTATATTAGACTGTGGTGAAAAAAATAACAAGGATTACAAAGGCACAAAATGCTAAGTGGTTATTAGAATTAAATAATTCCCTGATAATAACATTTCATACTGACAAGAAGACACCAAGTAACCTGGTTTAACAAAACTAAAAAACACTGTCCTAAAGATTATGAGTGATCCCAGCAACAAGATGCTAAGACAGAAGGACCCCATGTTGGGGGCCAGCCTGGGCAACTTAGTGAGACCCTGCCTCAAATTTTAAAAAAATTTAAAAGGTCTGGGGACATAGCTCAGTGGTAGAGTGCCCCTGGTTTTAATCCCAGTACTGCCACGCACACACAAAAAAACAAACAAACAAAAACCCACACATTGCTACTGATTATCTTCTAAATTGTCTTCTTTTTTAACATAATATTTTCTATTCATTTGAAATATGAACAGTGACATTATTTTCACATTTTCAGAGTCCTCTGTATTCCTCCAACTGAGTTGTAGCAAATATATCACAGCAAGGAAGAAACAGAAAAATCTCATCTAAATCCCCTCAACTTAATATGTGAAAATTCTAGGCTGAATGAAGTGACCCACAGAGCCAGAATGGGGAAAGACGAGAAAAGACAGAAAAGATTAGACTACGATGTTTTACATTGTTTAAAAAAAGGAGAGATAAGGGTTTGGTGGCATGTGCTGGTAGCTCCAGCTACTTGGCAGACTAAGACAGGAGGATCACTTAAGTTCAGGCATTTAAGACCACTCTGGGCAACACTGTGAGATCCCGTCTCAAAAAGAAAAACACAGGGAAAAAAATTGCTTATTAAAATCAAGGTGAGACAATAAAGATTAAACATTTAACAGGCCTAAAATAAACATTTAACAGGCCTTTGGAGTCACCAAAATTAACAGTTCACTTGTGTAAAAGGGAAGTGGTTTGAACAGTCTAGTTTTTCATGGTTTTTGTCAAATCCTCAACCATCTGAGAATAAACCTCCATGTGGCTAACATTCTGGGTAAGTGTAGAACACACAGTACAGGTGCATTGCTCCAGCCCTGTGGCTGTAGTCAGAGGGTGAGACACTATAAAAGAACAGACAATTTTGTGGTCCTCACGAGACACCAACAGTAAGGCTTTCAAAGGAAAGAAACTACTGCTACTCCAGTTTTAATGGATCCACGAATTGAGATAAAACTTTATAATCTCTAAAAACTCAAATTATCTATTTTGTTTCTGTTTTATAAAACCAGACATAAAAATACATAAAAATAAGCATCATTAAATAATTTCACTTTGAAAGATCATCTGGCAGAATCAAAACAATGTTCCAGGTGGCATCTACACACTAAGAAGACCCTATCAGTATTTTCAACATGCATGTCATTAATATGAATCTACAGTCTCTGAACCATACCTATCATGTCTACTTTTCTTGGCAGATAAATCATCTCCAGAAGCAGGTCTTCTCTTTTTCCTTGGGGGCATCACTTTACTAAAGCAGTCTGAAGAACTGCAAGACCGCAGGCTTCCTATAAAGAAAATTCAGAATATAAATTAAAACATGCTGCACAGGAACTCCTACAAACTGTATGATTGCTAAATTTAAAAACAGCCATGGCTTGTATTGGGAAGGGTTTGATGTTATCAGTAAATACTATAGAGAAAATGGTTTGTAAATCCTCTTTGAAAAAATGTTAGTCAAGGAAAAAACCTAGCAATGACACAAAACAAGTGATTACTTCTCACCACCCAAATCATACCAGAAATAGAAGCAAGCTCAATTTTAATTTACTCTCCAGAAATACTAATGGAAATCACCTAAACTTTTCATTTCTCTTACATGTCAATGTTCCTTCAAGAGAAATGCACTGCTATTGCATTTATCTATTTCATTAGGCAAGGTCAGTTCAATCAGGAACCATGACTCTAAAATACATATAAGCACATCAATCCTAACGCTCACAAGCTACAAGGGAAATGATTCGCAGAGGGGAGAGATTGGGGTATTGTGGCTCAGGAGGCGGGGGGGGGGGGGCGCTCTTGCAGAATCTGATGTGACCCTTAACAAAATTTTCACAATAACTTTTCTTGTTTCTGCCACTTGAAGAAAACTCTGCCATTTTTCAGTCAGGGTTTACAGTCAGAAAAGCAAAGCTTTCGTTTGGGAAAAGGGTATTAAAATTTAATAATAGACAATAAGAATTGCAAAGAACACTCAGTGAGCACTTACTGGGAGTCTGTCCTCCTCTTAACTTTTGCAGATACTAACTCAGGTAAGTTCGTAACAAGCTGCTGAGGAAAGACCACTGTTGCCTCACACAGGGAAGAAAACAGAGAAAGCTAAAGTGGTAAAACTGGGATTCAAACTCAAGTGGTCTTGCTTCAGATTGTCCTAAACCATTATAAATTATAAGACAATTATAAAATAATTAAATATCCCATTTTGGCACAAGTGCCATCAGATATGTCATTTGGTTCCCACAATAACCCTGAATGACAGGCAGGGCAAAGATAATTATCTACTTAACAGATGGGAAAAAAAAAATCAAGGCTGAGGCATTCAAGTGACTTTTCAAGATTTGTGAAGCAAAAAATGGTGAATTCTGGTCCCCACATCCCTCCCCCTTTCTTTGGCTCTTGGTTGAGGGACCTGGACTCTCAGGGAGCCATGAAAACAAGAGAGCATGTGAATGCTGCTGGAGTTTGGCAACCTGCACTCAATGAACCATTGCCAGCTCTTTGCTAATGATGCAGCAATTGCTAACTTACTCTGGGTCCCTTGATTGTAATCTGAAGAATGGGACAGTGATATTTCTCAGAATATTCATGAAGAAAAATATCCATTCAGTAAATACATAGGTACCAAAGCAAGCACTGTGTTTAGGTACCTGCAGCAGAAGTGTAAGGGAACCCAAGAAGCCCCACAGCAAAGCCAGCTCTCAGCCACTATCTGCTACCACTCCTTCAAAGACAGTTATAGTTTGGATCTTTAAAGTTCCCTGAAAAAATCATATGTTAGACAATGCAGGAATGTTCAGAGGTGATATGATTAAATTATGAAAGCTGTAACCTCATCAGTGGATTAATACATTTGAGATTAATAATGTGAATGAACTACTGGGTGGTAACTGTAACCATGTGGGTGTGGTTGAAGGAAGTAGGTCACTGGGGATGTGACGCTGGACTGTATCTTGTCCCTGGCTCTTCTCTCACTCTTCTGCTTTCTGCTGCCATGAGCTAAGCAGTTTCCTCTGCCACACCCTTCTGTCATGATGTTCTGTCTCATTTCAGGCCCAGAGTAATGGAGCTGACTGACCATGGACTGAACTTCTGAAATCCTGAGCCTCAAATAAGCCTTCTTATTACATTATTTTGGTCCCCCTAATGAAAAGATGGGTAGCAGGAAAGTAGAGACTGAGAAGCAGAGAACTAAGAGCAAAGCCATGGGTAATATGGATACTAAAGGGGCTTAGAAAAGAAGGTGACAACCTGGGCAGGGAGAAAACCCAGGCTCTCCTCTCCTCTATGATGTCCTGGAAGCCCAAAGAAAGAGTTTCAAGGTGGGATTGTTCAAATACTGCACAGAGGTCCATCAGGTAAGGAGTGAAGGCACATACTGCATTTAACAATGAAGTACAGCAGAGATGGACTTGGAGAGAGCAGGCTAGATGGAAGGTGGTTGGGGAGTGATGTGAGTTGAGGAAGTGGACAGGGTATGTGTGCAGCGTTCTCTAAGGACACCTGCTCTGAAGACAAGGAGAGGGCTCTCAGTAGCTGAAGTTATAAGGCTGCTAAGAGCAATGATCAGAGCTACACCTGAATCCCAGGTCACATTTAGGCTTCTACCACTATGCTAAGTTTCTTTGGTGAGAGCCTTTAGGGACATACCAGGGGAAAACACCCTTTCTGTTATGAGGCGAGATGACCACCCAAGTGGGCTACAGCCCAGAGCCTGTTTCTACCAGCCCCTGAGCTCAAGAAGCTTGCTCTCTCAGCCCAGATTCCATGTAGGTCAAATAAGATGACCTCCAGCTACCTTTCCCGGGGGCCTAACAAGACCTATCCTTTCAGAAAAAAAGTACCCTAATATGTCTCTCTCCCCAACAGGGGAAAAAACTGGAAAAAAAAGAATAACCAGACATAGAGTGCTACCCCCACACCGATACTCCATTCATCTTCCCTGGAAAACAGTGTCTTGTTTATAAACAACACCAAAATACCAAAAGGTCCAAAGAACTGCAGTGACCCAAGTTTTCACAGATCACCAATATTTAAGAAAAAGATTTATCCTTGTCTATTAATGCCTCATGACAGAGTTTACAGGAAGAAAAAGTCTATACTGCTTGACTGTGAAGCCAGTAGCACTGCCTAGAAATGAAAGAGCAGGCACAACACTGGAAGGCTTGCTTCTCCCTGAATGTGGACTTGTGAAGGAAAGCCATCTTCTTCCAAGAGCAGGAATGATTTGGTTCTGGGTGTCTAGCCTGGCGGTAACCTATTCTATCTGCAAGTACTTGCAAAACACTGAAGAAAAGGCATGCATCTCGTCAGTCCACAGGAAGTGTACATTCCAAAATAATGTCTTCTCCAAGAAACACTTCATACTAGCTTTTCTACCATCTGCTTCTTCATGAACACTGGTATCACCTGGCTTTTGCTTACTCTTACCTTTCAAGAGTAGTACGTTTTTGGTAAACATTGTAAGTTAATTCACTTTTCCAACTTTTTCTTATCGATGAACGCTTTCTGTTAAAAAATTCACAAATCACTGTGTCTGTGTAAAACTTATTCATATTAAAGTCTCAAACCATTCTGAGTTCAGCAATATACTCTTCTATTTATTCAAAACATTATCTCCTAGCTAAGAAGCATGACTTCCTTTTCTGTCTTTCCACTCTAAGCATCAGCATAAGTGAGTGGTTGTTGTAGAGCCATTTTTACAAAGAACCCATGCCTCTTCGCCCGCCCCTGAAGTCACCACAGCCCAGGCACTCTCTGACTTACTGCCCTGCTCACAGCCACCTCACAGCGGGGATGCAACCAACTGGAACTTGGGAAGGAAGTTCCCAAGGACCACACACAGTTCAGCCCTTCCAGGCATAACCACCTAGAACCCAGGATGACAGGAAAGTTTCAGGCTACAGAAGAAGCAATGTTTTAATGCCATGGAAAACAAGTTTACTTAAAATAATAATTTACCAAAATGAACTAAATCAACCAAATACACAGATAGCACAATTAAGGCTATTTCTTCCAGATCAGATCCCTGTCCCCACTCTACCCTCACTGGCAGATCCTAACCATGCAAGAGCAAAAACCAGAAATTTTAAAGTTATGCTGATGCATAATAATATACTAAGGTACATCTTGGTTTGTGGGTCCTGTCTAGCTCACTTATACATACAGAGCAAGCAGCTAATGCAGTATCTTGTTACAATAAAAACATATATATATTATTGAATCATTTGATAGTCTCTCAATAAATATTTGTTGAGTGTTCTCATAACACACATAAATCAAATTCTGCTTAAAAATCAGTACACGTACAAAGACTTAAAATACCAATGAGTAGATAATATGCTATCATTTCTGATTTTTTCACCATTTGTCAGCAAAACAAACACTTGACTTTACGTTTCCTGGCAGGCAGAATTTTAAAAAAAAAACAAAAAACACAAATATTAGCAGAGTATTTGCTCCTTGAAGTAACTCAGTGGTAATTCTTTTTATAATAGAAACACTTAAATCTAAGTAGATATGTTGCAAAAATTTGTTTTTATTTGTATCATTAAATTTAGACTTAACCAATAACTTGTATCACTTCATCTATTTCAATTAAACTTTATCTTTCAACTACAAAAAAATTCAAAAGTAAATAATGTACACAGAATATTATGGAGTATTTATTTGCTTCAAATATCAAGACTGATGTTTTAACACATGGACAATAATTACGACACCCTCCCCTGACAACCCTGTGCTAGGATTCTTAACTCAGGGCCTCATGCAAGCACTCTACCACTGAGCAATGTCCCCAGCACAACTTTTAGAGTATTTACCTTCACAAATCTGAGAGGTGTTTCTAACATTTCTATACTGGATGGGGGGGGTAGACCTGAAAACAATCCTCTCACTGCTAGAGGCTCTTTCTTAATGCCATGATATTTGTATGATCCTTAGGGATGCAATAAAAATTGTGTACAGTTTTCAACCCAAGATTATGATTGGAGTTCAGGTTCATTCTTTTTGGTTCAGTATTTCAAAAGAACAAATTAAGTATCTTATAAGTGACCATTTTTTTCCTAAATCAATCAATCAAGAAATATATACATAGGCTACTTCCCAAATTAAACAATTAGAAATACTGCCAACACTCTTCAACAGGTCTATCCTAGTATTTGCCCCAGAAAGGCATCCTGAGTTACCTGGATCAGTCCTTTAATGTCTATCCAGCTTGCTCTTTTGATTACAGTTTAATTAAACACATTATTCCTTAAAAAATAATGCTTCAGTAGTTGCTTCACTGATTTTACATATTTGTAAAATATGGTCTTGCTTTATGGGCCTCAGTAAAGTGAGTTCCTATCAGAATTGATTTTCTATACGACGTATCAACTCTTGTGTCCATTTTCCAATCATCCCCAAATGATTTACCAAATTAAAAAGTGTTTGACTCTTCCAAACTTATATAATAAATGCATATTCCAATACAAACCTCACTGCCAAAGGGGAATAAAGGGAAGGGAGGGGGATGGAAATAGGGAAGACAGTAGAATGAATCAGACCTAACTTTCCTTTGCTCATAAATGAATACACGAACAATATAACTTAACATTATGTAAACCTACAAAAATGGGATCCTAATTGGAATGGGTTGCTCTCCATGTATGTGTAATACACTCTACTGTCATGCATATCTAAAAGCAATTTTTTAAAAACTCACTACCTAATTTTTCATTTTAGTGAGCTTGATGTATCGCAGGTTTGGTTCACTTAATGATGTTTTTACAGGGCTCATTCTGCCACTTCAGTTATTTTTACATAGCTAGTTCGCCTCACTACTCACTGAACAATGCCATAAAGATTTAATAATTTAAGTAGATAAAAAGATAGCATTTTAAGATCTTTCCAGTAGCTAATGTTTTATTTCAATTTTTTTAACAGATCACTGCACTATTTACCTGAGTATAAAATTATTAATTTCTAAATGAACAATTTTTATCCTATTTAAAAAGTTTTCTTTTTCCTTTCTTTCTAAATAATACTGACTTCTGACATCTAGAATCAACTTCCTTACACATTTCTTTGTCCCGTTTTTTTTTTTTTCCTTTTTTTATTCATTCATTCTATTTTGGGTCACTTCTCCAAGAGTAACTACTAATTCTCTCTCTCCCTTGGGAGGAAGATTAAGAACACCAAAGAAAAGTGTTAGAGAAGCCTTTTCTGACTTGGGTTTGGCTCTTCCACATGCAATTTTTATAGATGTGGCTCAGACTCTTGTGATGGGATAAGATAGTCAAAGAAGCATCTGAGCAACTAAACCTTCTCAGATTCCAATCATCATAGTTTTACATTGTTAAGTTTTTAAGTCCATTTTGTTGGGTATGAAAATCACAAGTGATGCTTCGTATAACCAGAAAGAAAAATGCCAGACATTCACAAGTCATCAAATACTGTACCCGCCGTATGCAATATACCAACCATCAAACACAGCTGCCGTTCCCAAGGGCAAAAGAGGGGCATGAGGCCAAATGCTTTTTCCAATTTCCTCTTCCTTAAATATGACTTACAGTGATTAAATTGTCACATATCAGGTTAAATATATGAATGTGAAATTACTATAATTACTCATTTAAATCAAACCTTCAAATTAACAATATAATGTGTAGAATTCAGAACTTAAGAAGATATATTACCATATCTTAAAGAAATACAACTTTAGAGCTTAACAAATGCAAAATAGTTTTTAAAATAATACTATACTAAAGAATAAGATGAAAAATAAATCCTCATAGTTCACAAATATCATTTCAGAATGAGAAACAAGTGTTTTTTTCCCCTTAGTTATTAAGACTGGCCCTGAAAATTTTATTCTAGCATTACTGAAAGTAGCTAAAAGTTAAACATATAAATGTGTGTTATTAAGAGCCTAGAAAAACATATTATAATGTATCTATGAACTAGAAAATTTATGTAGTCATTTAAAATTAGAGAAGATGCTTTATAAATGTGCTACTATAAAGACACACAGTGCCCTATAATACTCCTGCCCCCTTGTCTCATTCCTTCCTGAAAGCAGGAATATCTGGTCTAATTAGTGATCCACAGAGAGGAAACTGAGCAGAGAGCCCCGCCCCTTGAAGCAGCTTTCAGATCTGCTTGCTGGCAGACATATGAAGCCTTCCACCATCACAGTAGGTGGTGTGAGAGGGCAGCAGATATGCCAGCCTATACTTAACCTAGTTGTGGCTAAGTCTTAAAGAGAAATACTAAAAAGCTTGATTAGTCTTGCTGCACATTTCAGCAAGTTTTCCAACAAAACTGTTACTTTAATCTCTTTCTTATGCATAATTTTCAATTGATTCTGAACCAATTTAAGGGGGTGGGAGTCCTAAATCAATGACCTCCAAGATTAAATGAAATTAATTAAATGAAAAAAATCCAATAATATACATAGTAAATCATGGATACTAAATGAAAAAAACAAGCATATATACAAGTATATATGCATGCATAAAAACATCTGAAAGAACCAACATTAAATAGTGCACTGGGGAAATAGGGTGGGATTGGGAGACATGAATCTAATCTCCAATGTGTTAGTATGAAGAAGTAAGGCTTTTGGGAGGGTTCTATCCTCATGACTGGGAGTAGTTCCCTCATAAAAGAAGCCCAAGAGGTTGCCTCTCCCTCCCACTATGTGAGGATGCAGCAAGAAGAGCTAATACTGAGGAACAGGCTTTCATCAGATACAGAATTTGCTGGTGCCTTGATTTTAGACTTCCCAACATTTAGAATCATGAGTCATCAATTTCTGTTGTTCATAAATTACCCCATCTAAAGTACTTTGTTATAGTAGTCCAAACAGACTAGAACAAGCAGGAATTCATATACTGTGCAGTAACTTTCTAATTTTAAAATAGATTTTAGTAATTTTCACTGGAAGTTTAGTGACTATAAACCAAATGCCAGTTTCTCTTAACAATTTAAAGAAATGGTCTCAAAATATGGTCTCCAGATCCAGGAGGATCAACATCATCTGAAAGCTTGTTAGCAAAGCACACTCTGGGGGCCCACTCATCCCCAATCTACAGAATCAGAGACTCTGGGGGTAGAGCCTGAAACCTGTTTTAAATAAGCCCTCCTTAGGAGACTATCATGCTAGCTACACTTTGAAGAGCACAGGGCTAGAGAGTAATTGTGAATAATCTAGTTTCACTGTTCTCATTCATAAGTCCTCATTTCCTATACAAAACACACACACACACACACACACACACACACACACACACGCCTACCTTTCAAATCAAATCACATTTTCAGCTGAATTAACTAAAAAATAAGATCTTAAAACCACTAGAGAATTTTTAGCCCCTTTAAAGGAATTAAAGTGCTTTGCCATAAACCAGCACCCCAGAATAGATTTCCTCTAGGAAGGAGCTGAAATATGGCTGCCTTCAATACACTCTGAAAGATCTTCTCAACCAAGTACTTGTTCATGGAGTATTACGATAACACAGAGCATTAATGGCTAGTATTTCTCTTTCATAATTTGTATTATTAGTAAGGGTATTTAAAATTAAACAGTCAATACTTGGAAGACTAAAGGTGGGAGCATCCAAGTGCAAGAACAGCCTGGGCAACTAAAGAGAGACCCTATCTCAAAAGAATAAAGAAAAAAAATTAAGCAGTGTTAGCATTTATAGATACCTGTTTGGTGATCGTCTTGGCCAACGTCTTCTGTTAAATTCTGCAAGAAATACATTCATTATTACCAAGAAATCACATAGCATACAGCAAGTTTTATAAGCAATTGCTATCTTATCCACAATTGAAATTTTTTCAGCAAATACACTTGCACAAAATGAATAGTTCATCTTTTTTTAAAATTTATTTTATTTTATTTTTTAGGTGTAGATGGACACAACAACACAATGCCTTTTATTTTTTATGTGGTGCTGAGGATCGAACCTCAGTCCCACTGATGCTAGGCGAGTGCTCTACCACTGAGCCACAATCCCAGCCCATAGTTTTATCTTTAAATGACTGACTTACTAGTTTATTAAGGGTGTGGTAGATCTTATGAATATTTGCCAGTGTTGAGAGATGAGAGTTCAGCTGAAAGTCTTTAAAAGAAAAAAGAAAAAATTCAGTGTCACCTATTTCCACACTACAGAGACTGTTTAAAAAAGTAAAAATAAACAAATGTTTTGATATCTCAATTAATTTATATTTATATATACAAAATGACACGCAATTACTGACCTGACTCCTAGAAATAAAGTTTGACAACAATATTAAATTCCCAACCAAATGTTAAAGTTCATGAAATTTTCGTGTGGATTCTAAGGTAAAATGAAAATACTACAGTAATTGTAAAATCCTGTCAGCAGGGAACTTGAACTTATTAGAAAGATATAAATGTTAGCAAATAGATGACAGATCTCGAAATGTGTTCACTTTCTCCTTCCTGTCCCCAGAATTTGTGGTACAATGAGTAAGTCCTGGCAAAACAACGATAAAAAAGCACTCCAATGTCCAGTATTTCTTACAATATATTTATTTTGTGGTTGATTATACAACAGAGAGAACAAAATCTCTCCCATTAAACAAACAGATAAATCAAAGAACTCTCCTGCGGGCCAAAGCCCAATGATGGGTCTGTGGGTATAGTTGCAGGCACTGCAATGTTAAAGTGTACCACAGAAGCAGAAATCATACTCCTAAGGAAAGAGGCCTAGATCAAAAAATATACCCATGCTTCATCCCCAATCGTTTCAGAATTATCCACTAAGTCAAAAGACTGATGAAGTTGCTCGATCCTAGAATCCTGCACAATATAAAACTAATAAACTGTTAGTCTTACAAATTTCTCATTTTTGTAAACTATGCTGCCATGTATATTAGGCAGTAAAACTACAAGTTTATCAATAACTTCCTATTTGAAAAGCATCAATGGAAGTATTTTCATAAAACATTACGATTTACATTAGTTCCTTTTCTTTCTTTTTTCTTTCTTTCTTCTTTTTCAGGTTTTCTTTGTTTTTAGTTGTTGGTGGACCTTTATTTTATTTATGTGTGATGCTGAGAATTGAACCCAGTGCCTCACACATTAGGCAAGCGCTCTACCACTGAGCCACAGCCCCAGCCTACATGAACTTTTTAATATCACTAATAAGCGGCCCCCAATATAAAGGTTAAAATCAAAGGTTAAAATCTTTGAAAAGATACTATAACTATCCAACCAACAACAATCTAATAAAAAAGAAAAGAAAAAGAAGCCACCCTTCACTGAAATGTTTTTTGGAATGCGCATCAGATGCAAAGAACAGATCCAAAGATGAGATACTACCACATTTTTAGTTGTCTGCTGGGGCTGGACCTTCTGGTACTACTTCACTTCAAATCAAGAAAGCAAGCTGCCTCCCTGACACTAGTTAGAAAGGTTCATCGGCTCATTTTCTAAGTCTTACTAGGAATCCAGTTCTGGGCAGGCCTGTGGAGCAAAGGGATCCAGGATAGCAAAGCCCCTGACATTTACACAGGAGCAGCAGGAGCAGCAAGCCATTATTTATACATATACACACGTACTGCTCAGGCATAGTCACAGCCAGCTAGAATGGTTCAAAGAACCAATTTTGGGCAGAGAGACAGCCAGAGGAGGGCCTCAGGCTCTAAACAGGCCTCAAATAGAGACACATTTTGTTTGGCATCTCAATAATCTAGCCATGCTTAAAATTATGACATTAAATGGCACAGAATCTAGATCTTTCATCTTAATGGGTACAAATGCACAAAAAAGGTTCAGAAAAGTATTCGGGGTGTGTGTGTGTGTGAGTGTGTGTGTGTGTGCAAGCGCGCGCATGTGCACATGTGCGCATGTACTTAATTACTTATGTTTACATTTAATGAACACCAATGACAATCTCTAAAACCAAAATTGACAGCCCTCTCCTGACCAAAGGGGCCAGAAAGTCCAATTTCTGCAGCCTCCCATCTACTACTACACCATAACCCCCTTCTTGTACTCTCTCAATTTAGAAACAGGAAGACAATACATTCCATTATCACCTTGGAATGTTTTTAAACACTTGGGACCCCCACAAAACCAAAAACTAACACATAAAGTTTGAGGCCACAATAGGAGGAAGAGAGAATGGGGCGCGCCAAAGGTCATACATGCAAGTCCTCCTGACCCCCAATGCTACATTTTGTCATTTCACTGTTCTACTGTTAAGTCAGTGTCAAAATTCACATAAGAGAATCTAAGAAAGAAGGCAAGTTGTTAAATCTTTCTCTCTCCTTTATACGGCTATGAAAGAAATAGAAAAGAAACAGAAGCTGTCCTCAATCTGGAATTTCAGCTGAGCCCTACCCAACTTCTTTCACCACTCCATCCCACAAAACCCTTCTTTTCAACCTTCACATTCTGTCCAATGCCCTCTCTAATTCCAAAAGAGTCCTATGTGCACACATATGTGCATGTGCACACACACACTCACTCTGTTCCTGCCCAAAATACCATTTTGTTTTATCACCTCACCTTGGAGTTTTAACTCATGGCTCAAATCTCAGGTCTAACAGTTATTTAACCTAAATCCCAATTTCCTCATCTGAAAAATAAAAGACTATGAAATAATCCTTCATAGTGTTGCTGGAAGGATGAAAATATATCAGACACCTATAATAATACCTATCTGTGTCAGGCACCCATCACAATGTCTGGGAAACAATAAATAAAAGCCACTGATGACCACTATATTTGCTTATGGTGTTCTATACACCAAATGGCCATCTAAAATAGTATCTACTTTCACTAGATCCAAAGTCAGAAATCCCTTTATGATTGAGGAATGTGGCCAGATAACATCTATATAGCTTATGATAGCATTTCTATATTTATATACACCAAGTGATGTTTATAATAATGGCTGCAAGTAATCTCAACACACTGGAAAAAGTATAGGAGTGTTTACAACCAGATTCTGCATGTGAAGTTTCACTTCACACACACACACACAAAAAGGTATAACGGTTCATTTCAGAAATCACGTGGTATAAGCCAGCAATTATTCATTTCTATATCCAAATCCTACTCTGACACCACCAACCATCACGTCACCCAAAAAATACATACAAAAAGAAAAAAGAAACCAAAATTAATAATCTTTCTTTAGTTTCACCAACATAAGAAGTTAAGAAGATATGAATTCAGAGGGGAAAAGACAAAAATAGCATTAAAAGATAAATTCACAAAGGTTAACACATATTGGATTTATGGTTCATCTGTTCAGTGCTCAGGGCAAGTAATAGACCTTGAAATCTAAAACAGATTTCACATCCTTAAGGCATAGATGTTAGGGGTAAAGATCAAACGCTTTACAGAGAACATATTTAAGGAAAGCACTAACTGATTCATAAAAATCTCCTTCTGCTCATATTTCAATTCCAAAGGATAAATGCCAGGTAAGGCAACTGTATTCCATGATCCAATGGCTTTCCATAGTAAGGTGGTTTCTCGGCTTGATTCTCCTGAATGACAAGCACAGCTCTATAGTCCTAAATTAAAAGCAACAACTGGCTTTGCAAAGAGGCATAGCCTGCTTGACAAATAGCTTGCCTAAATGATCTTCTGGATATTTTTTAAACTATCCACAAATGCAGACTGAGCACAAAATTATCTAGTTTATTTTAATTCGTATTCACTATGCACAATATAAAAGAAAAATGAACACCACTAAGGAAGTCAAAGTCCATTTTCCTAAACTGTCCTCTCCACAGAATGGGTAAATTCAGACAATGACTGTCAAACAAAAGAATTAAATATGAAAGTAATTTTGTTAATTTGGCCCCTGAGGGCCAAAACCAATTTAAATATATAAAAAGCAAAAGCCTTCCTTTATACTCTAATAGTCCCTTATAAAATATAACTGGGAGAAGATCTCACTTATAACAACAAAAAGGAATAAACTTCAGTATGTAAGATACAAGTGAAGAAACAATAAAAGTTTGCTGAAAGACATAAATGTAGAGCCATTACATTCCTGGAGTGGAAAGACTCTAACTGTAAAACAATCACTTCTCCCCCTTCACTAAACTATACAAATTGAATGCAATCAAATACCTATTCCACCTGCCCTGCAGTTCTTCAGCCCCCCAAAAACATAGGGAAAGCAGTCAGGCAAGCTTGGTAGACTGATTTTTAAAGTTTATGGAAAAACAACATGTATGATAGCCAAGAAACTGTTGATAAAGAAGAGTGAGGAAGAACTTACTCCATCTGATATCAATAGATATTATAAAGCAGAGGTTGACAAACCCTCTGTAAAGGGCCCAGGTCGTAAATATTTTAGGCTGCCTGGGCCTCTTTGATCTGTTACAACTACTCAGCCAGACATTGTAGCTCAAGAGCACCCATAAATGATACATAAATGAGCATGGTTGAGTTCCAATAAAACTTTATAAATAAGCTGGGTGATAGACTACATTTGGTCTGTAGGCTTTAGTGTGCCAATACCTGGTATAAAAATACAGTAACTATAGCAGTATGGTATGTGTGCAGGAGGATAGATCCATGAAAGGAGTTGATAAACATGTTTGTATGTTTCCATGTATGTATAAGTAAACTTATATAATTAATGTAATTAAATATCATGTGAAAATCAATAGAAAACAGTAATTATTCAGTAACAGATGGGTAAATGGCTAGCCTGTGGAACAAATTAAAATTAATCCTAATCTCATCCCAAGGTTACAGATGAAAGGGGAAGCTATTCATGGCAAAAGAAAACGCCCTATCACAGGCTCAGGACCCTGCACACTCTGCTTCTACTCATCTTCCCCTTGTTCATTCTGCTTAGGCACAGTGACTTCCTGCTGTTAAGTGGACATTCCCAAGCACACTTACACCTCACAGCCTTTGTACAGTTGTTCTCTTTGCTTTGAATGCTCTTCCCTCCAGTAACAACACAACTTGCTCACACATTATCAGGTTGCCATTTAAATATCACCTCCACAAAGAATCTTGGTAGATCAAAAAACAGGATCCTTTCTGCACTCTACCACCACACCATGTTTTACTTCTCTTTATGGCATTTGTACACCTGACACTATATCACATATCTGTATTATATGTATTATAATGTTACTTCCACAAAGGCCAAGAATTTGATCTTGTCCACTGCTATGTCCCCAGTGCCTAGAATAGTACCAACACATATTAACTGTTCAATAAACATTCAGTAAATGATTCAATGCAGATATAAAGGTACCAAGACTTAAACTTGATATGTTCAGAGGATTTCAAGTGACTTTCAGATTTAAGAAGTATCAGGTTAAGAGAGAGAAAGAGATTCAAAAGAAAAGCAAAGATCAGAAAATAAAGAACCTGCTTTTGAGTTTAGATTGAATATCCTTAAAATATATAATTCTACCAGAGGGATGCAAATTTAAGAGATAAACATGGCACATTCAAGCAACACCAACTCTACTTAATGGTAATATATCTACAACAATTTTACATGATTATGGCATGAGACTGTAAAGAAATTTCAACACGCTGAGTGCATACATAATTCCAGAACCCTGGGAATGCCTACCTCACAAACCTGTGCACTGCAGAATGTTGCTGGAGAAGTATGAGAAGCACTCCTGTGGAAGTCTGAATGCTGTGGGAGCATTCTAATCAGGAATCGGCATCGGCTACAAAGACCACTCTAGGACAAGAGTGTAACATGGATGACAGGCAACCTGGATCTAGAGTGGCCATTTATGGAGAGAACTGGAAGTGACGGAGGTGGGAAATAAATAAGTAGGGCCTCAAGTTAGACAATGGCAATAAAAGTGGAGAGGAAAGATCCTCCATACACTGGATTTGCAGAAAAGAGCCACATAACTCAAGTAAATTCAATTTTATTCACTTTGGGAGGGAGGGGCATTTCAGTAGTCCCATTAACTGCATTAATTGCCCTCTTTTCTATTTAAACCAAGATGTGACACATGAATAGTCACTCAGTTTCAGTTTTTACAGGCCAATCTTAGTGCATCACAACACTGTATGAGTCTAGTATTTAAAGAGATGCATTTTTCATAAAACATGGTCCCTAAATGCCTGCCAGGTGCTTCAACTTAGGAGCTAGTGATCTGTTACAACACTGGAAGAAGGAAATGACTGTGCTGGATTCATCCAAGCTATTCTCCAATGGGGTGCCTTCTGCAATTATTTTCAGTGGTATTTTTAATACAGGTGATGTGCACCTTAAATAGGAGCCTTAGAAACAATTTCTATATAAAATGTGATTGTACTGCAAGAATAAGACCAAGTGAATTGCGTATGGGAGGTGAGAGAGAAGACCTCCTCCACGACATGCACTTGCATCGGATTCTCTTTGCTGTAGTAGCCCAAGCAGGATCAGACGGCTAGCTGGCTGTGGCCAGGCTGGGAATAAATCACATCTTCTAACTGCTAATCCAAAGCTATTTCTTTCATTCTAGCTTAACTTTTTTGTTAAGCTATTTTCACACTCCATGAAGGGAAAAAAGCAGCAGCATTTCCTACCCAAAGTTGTTAATCATCAAGTCCACAAACTTAAAGTAATTAAATATTAAAACTTAAAGTAATTAAATTACAACTATCTATTTTTTTAAATTAAATTACAACTATCTATTGCTTTAAAAACAATCTATCAACTTTTTTTAAGAGAAAAAAAAATGGGCCAGAGTAATAAGAAATAAAAGGCACCCAAATAGAAAAGGAGGAGGTTAGATTATCCCTTTTTGCAGATAATATGATATTATTTATAGAAAAATCTAAGGATTCCACCTTGCCATGCCATGATTAGAACTGGCATGAATTCGATAAGACTGCAGATACAGAAACAACATACTAAAAGCAATAGTCCTTTTAAGCCCCAATAACAAAATTACTGAGAAAGAAATCAAAAAAGCAATCCCATTTACAGCACTACAAAAAATAAACAACAAAAACCTAAAAATAAATTTAACCAAAGAAAATGATCTTTAGGATGAAAATTATAAAATTCTGAAAGAAATTGAAGCACACACAAAAACATGGAAAGACATCCATGTTCATGAACTAGAATTAATATTGTTAAAATGTCCATACTACCAAAATGATCTAGAGATTCAACACAATTGCTATCAAATATTAATGACCTTCTTTACAGAAATAAAAAACAATCATAAAATTGGTGTGGAACCACAGAAGACCCTGAATAACCAAAGTAATCTTGAGCAAAATGAACAAAGCTAGAGATTATAGTACTTAACGTTAAAACATAGTACAAAGCAATAGTAACCAAAACAGCACAATACTGGCGTAAAAACAGACACAGACCAATGGAAGAGAACAGAAAACACAAAAAGAAATCCACACATCCACAGCAAACATTTTCAACAAAGGTGGCCAGAGCATACATTGGGGAAAGTCTCTTCGATACCTGAACATGATGCTGAGAAAATTAGATAGCCATACTCAGAAGAAAAAAACTCGATCCCTCTCACCATATATAAAAATTTAACTCAAAATGGATCAAAGATTTAAATATAAGGTGCCAAAACTATGAAATTACTACAAGAAAACACAGGGGAAATGCTTCAGAATACTAGTCTGGGCAGATTCTTTGGATGACCCCTGAAGCACAAACTGACACATGGGATTACATCAAATTTAACAAGCTTTTGTAGAGCAAAAGAAAAAACAATCAACAGGAGCGAAAAGACAACCTACGGAAGGAGGAAAATATCTGCAAAGTAGTCATTTGACAAGGGATTAATTGCCAGAATATATAAGGGACTTTAGTCACAGCAGCAAAAAGGAAGAAAAACCCATATAATACAATTTTTAAATGGGCACATGAAAAAGAAAAAAAAATTTAAGAAAAAAAAATGGGAAAATAACCTGAAAATACTTCTCAAAGAGATTATAAAAATCATTAATAAGTATGTGAAAAACTGCTCAACATCACTAATCATTCAGGGTAACAAGAATCAAAACCACAAAGAGAGGGCTGGGGATGTGGCTCAAGCGGTAGTGTGCTCGCCTGGCATTCAGGGGGTGCTGGGTTCGATCCTCAGCACCACATAAAAATAAAATAAAGATGTTGTGTCCACCGAAAACTGAAAAAATAAAAATTAAAAAAAAAAGAGATATCTCACTCCAGGTAGAATGGCTATTATCAAAAAGACAAAAAAAAAAATTAATGCTGAGGAATTGGAAAAGGGGGAACTTTTATACACTACTGGTGGGAATGTAAACTGGCACAGTCATATGGAAAACAGTTCCTCAAAAATCTAGAAATGATATGTAGACAAAAGGAAGGTTAGTAGAGGAGGGGTAATAGGGAGAGGGAGGAGGGGAGGAAATAGGGAGAGGGAGGAGGGGAGGAAAAAGAGAGGGGAATTGGGGATTGAAATCAAGTTCCTTCCATGTATGATTTTGTTAAAATGGAGCTAACATCTGGTCCAGCTATCTCACTACCAGGTAGGTAGGTGTGTGTGTGTGTGTGTGTGTGTGTGTGTGTGTGTGTATACATACATATACACACACATAATCTCCAAAGTAAATTAAATCAAAATGTCAAAGAGGCATCTGCATTAGCATATTTACTGTGGCATTACTCACAACAGCCAAGTTATGCAAACAATCATCATCAAAAGATGAATAAAAATGTGGTATATATGTGTAGATACTCATACACATAAGCATATATACATAAGGGAATATTATTCAGTCATAAAAACAAATGTAATTCTGTCGCCTGCAGCCAACATGAGTGTAACTGGAGAACTTTCATGTTTAGCAAAATAAGTCAGCAAAGAGACAAATACTTCGTGTTCTTACTTATATGTAGAAGCTAAAGAGTTGATCTCAAAGAAGTACAGAATAGAACAGTGGTTACCAGAGACTGGGAAGGATATGGAGAGGGAGGGATGGATGGAGAGAGGATAGTTAAGGAGTACAGGGGGGTACAGTTAGATAGAAAAAAATTTCCTGTTCTTTATGACAGTAGGATAAATATGGTTGACAACAATCAATAACTAGAAGAGAAGATTTCAAATGTTCCCAGTGCAAAGAAATAATACACATGTAAGGGTTAGATATGGCAATTATCCTGATCTGATCATTATACATTGTATAATGTACTGAAATGTCATCCCATAAATGTGTTCCATTACTATGTGTCAATTAAACACAAAATATATTTTTAAAAGGCATGTACTTGGTATATGAAAATAACATATATTGTTTTTCTGATAAAAAATGCTGTCCATTTATTTCTGAACCAAACGAATAAAATTATTTAATAAAGCTAATAAACATTTTTTTAAAAAGAGGGTGTAGAAAACATATACAATACCAGTGTTATAGATACTTTCTGGTCACTAAAGGTTCATCAAAGTATTATTAGCTAAACTCCAGCTAATCTGTGAGCAATGTTCTCAGATATAAACATCTTAAATACAGCACTATGCACTTAATAAATGCTTTTTGATGACAATGAAAATGATGAAACAAACCTGTAAAGTTTGGTGGCGGGCAGGGTAAAAGTAGTAACTGTTTTAGCAGTTACTCCTCAATTCCCCCTACTCCCTTCGGCACTAGGCAACCATTAATCTACTTTCTAAATCTATAGATTTGCCTTTTGTGGATATATATAATACATGTTGTTGCCAAAAAAGTAAAACAAAACTGGAAAAAATTAAAGGTAATCAAAAACAGCATTCATTCTAAATGTCTCTGGGACAGCACAAAACAATCTAGCAGTGCAAGGCTATGCCTCTCTAACTGGTAATCGACATGGAATGCTTAAAGGGTGCTCCAAGCCATGGGGTACATAGCCATCTTCCTGATAATTTTACTATGTGACATGGAGAAAGAAAAAAATTGTTGTTAAAGCCAAGGGTGTACTATAGTTGAGAACCACTGTTCAGGTTTGCCTTGCTTCTTTAAGCCCTCTAGAAACACAGCCTTCTTTCCTCTGGGTTTCAGATAGACCCAGGATAAGGATGAAAATGATGTTGAGTGGAGACCTCGGTGCCAACTCACAAAGGACATGTCACAACGTGATTTCAATTACTGAAAATCTGGATGTCTTAGTGCAGCATAAAAGAAAAGAAATCAAGTCCTTATGAGACCCCATATGATATCTTATAGAACCCCACTCTTTTGTCCTTTTCACTGTTATTCCAGCTACGCTCTTCCTCGTATATTCAGGAATGGCATTTACTATGTCCTTTCCTTCAATGACACTTGATATTGACAAGGCATAACAGTTGTCTTTGTCTTTACTGAAATATCTATTCAAATGTCACTTCATCAGAGAAGTTTCCTTTACCTTCTCTATCCAAAGTAGTACCTTCAACCACCACTGGATTCAGACTTTGTGGCATTTATCACTTCCTGATATATTTTTAAAAGGTTTCTGAAGGTTTAATTCACATACCATATTGCTCACCCATTTAAAGTATATAATCCAAAGGGTTTTAATATATCCAAGAAGTTATACAACCATCACCAAAATCTAATTATGAAACACTTACCACTGCATTAGCAGTTACTTCTCAATTCCCCCCAACTCCCTTCCATACTAGGCAACCGTTAATCTACTTTCTAAATCTAAAGATTTGCCTTTTGTGGATATCATACAATATGAGGTCTTTCATGATCCCAACACTGAATTATGTATATTTACATCTTTGTCACTATCCCCAGAGTCAAAGTTTCAGGAGGACAAGGACATTTTTCCTTTATTCACCACCCTATCCCAATACTTAGAACAGCAAGAGCCTACCTAGTACATTGTAAGTATGAATAAATAGGGGAATTAATGCTTCAAAAAGTCACTGGATTTAGCAACATGGAGGTTACTCCCATGACCTCAGCAAAGATTGCAATGACAGAACTGAGGTCATAATAAACTGAGATGAGGAAACAAAATATGCCAACCATGGACAACCTGTTCAAGAAGCTTGGTTTTGAAGGGGAGACTAGATATGCTTGTGGACTTGATGGTATGTGGAATACAGGTTTTTATATGACAGGATTTGAGCATGTTTAAAATGCCAATCTTAGATTTGCTTAATATCCTGAAAGGCTACCATAGCCAGAGGATAAAGAGGCAGGTCAGACCACAAGTCAGTGCAGACCTGTATCTGAGCTCAACAACACAAAGCATATGTGTTTTAAAAAATTACATTAAAATAAAGATATAAACTGGCATGAACATACTTTATATACAAAGATATGAAAAATTGTGCTCTATATGTGTAATAAGAATTGTAATGCATTCTGCTATCGTGTATTTAAAAAATAAAATCAATTAAATAAAAAAATAAGTTCTACCTCAAAATGACTTAAATATAAAATCTACTATCATAAAGTGAAGCATACTTTAGTTGAAACTATAAAAAGGAGTGTTTTAAATGATCTACAAATACCAATTTACAATTTTGCATACCAATTGATAAGTTTATATGAGATGGGACAGGTCTTAGTTTCATTTGTAAAATAAACATTCATATTTGAGGCTAAG